CTCTTTCCAGGGAGTTTTCCCCCTCTCTTTCTCCATTGTCTGACATGGTAAATTTTTGCAAAATCCCCCGGCAAGGGTCTCCCTTCCAGGTGGATTAATTTTGCAAGTCCTGTCTAATGTAAGGACCCACCCCACTTTGCATCTTAAGAAGACAGAACTCTTGGAATAATTCTTCCAACAGGAATCCTTTATTAAGAGAAAATGGTTGCAGGCATGCTAGACAGGACTTGGGGTTCAAGCTCTTCCATTCAAGGTTTTAAGGGGTTCCCCAGTAGTCCCACCCAATCAACCCCCCTTCCAGTGATAGTTTCAAGTATCACAATTCCACCCCCTTTCTTCTTTCTTCCGTCTGCATGGGGACTTCAGATAACTACATGAAAGGCAACTACCCTCCTTTGGTATGTTAACGCTTTGAGGTTACAATAAACACACATTCAGCATTCAGCTCTTTGAAGTGTAAAGAAGGAAGTGAGGGCCATAAAGCCCCTTTGTTCTCCCCCTTCTCTCCCTCTTATGGCAGAATCCAGAGAAGGCAGAATTGGGAGTTTCTATATTTGATAATTAAAGATGAAATATAATTGGATTCTGACACTTACCTTACTTTACTTCACTTTACCTTACCTTGGCTGGATGGAGTCACTGAAGCAGTAGGTGTGAATTTAAATGGACTCCAGAAGATGGTAGAGGACAGGAAGACCTGGAGGAACATTGTCCATGGGGTCGCGACGGGTCGGACACGACTTCGCAATTAACAACAACAACCTTACCTTACCTTACTTTACTTCACTTTACCTTACTTTACTTTACCTTACCTTACTTTACTTCACTTTACCTTACCTTACTTTACCTTACTTTACCTTACTTCACCTTACCTTACCTTACTTTACTTTTTATTGTATTATGTTGTTATGTTATGTTATGTTATACTATGTTGTTATTTTTACCCTGCCTTCGTTCAGGGCTGTTTTTGTGGCATTGTTTCTATTTGGCCAACCTCCATAGGACTTGGAGCTATTTGGATACCCGTTTTAAAAAAAAAAAACAGGTGGAGCTTTGATAAATAGCATTCTCTCAGCCCCCGTCTTGGAACATAGAATCTGGAAGGGACCTTGGAGGTCTTTTAATAGAATAGAGCTGGAAGGGACCTTGGAGGTCTTCTAGTCCAGCCCCTGCTCAAGCAGGAGAACCTACACCATCTCAGACAAGTGACTCTCTAGCCTCTTCTTAAAAACCTCCAGGGATGGAGCGCCCACGATTTCTGGGGCTGAGCTACCTTCTATCTAGTCCGCCCCCTTTCCAAGGCAGGAGTCTCATACCATCCCAGTCCAAAGGGGGTCCAGTCTATTTCTGAAAACCTCTATAATGATGGAGCACCCACCGTATCTTGACTTTCTTGACCAAGTCTGGGGACACCCTTGATCTTGCATCAAAAAGGCCTGGTGTTGCAGTGGTTTGGGGGCAGGATTGGAGGCAAAAACTCTACCCACAGCCGGGAGTTTGATCCTAACTGGTTCAACATGGACTCAGCCTTCCGTCCTTCTAAAGTCAGTAAAATGAAGGCTCAGGTTGTTTGGGGGGGGGGCAAGAAGCTGACTCCGTAAACTGCTTAGAAGGGATTGTAAAGCACTGTGAAGCAGTAATAATAATAATAATAATAATAATAATAATAATAATAATAATAATAATAATAATAATAAAGTTGGAAGGGACCTTGGAGGTCATCTAGTCCAACCCCCTGCTCAGGCAGGAAACCCTATGCCATTTCAGACAAATGGCTGTCCAGTCTCTTCTTAAAAACCTCCAGTGTTGGAGCATTCACAGCTTCTGGAGGCAGGTGGTTCCACTGGTTAATTGTTCTAACTGTCAGGAAGTTTCTCCTTAGTTCTAGGTTGCTTCTCTCCTTGATGAGTTTCTATCCGTTGCTTCTCGTCCTGCCTTCAGGCGCTTTGGAGAATAGCTTATCACCGCTAGTATATGGAAAATAGTATATCAGCGCTATTGCCATTGCAGTATTTTCCTTCCTTCCTTTCTTTCTCCCTCTCTTTCTTTCTTTCTTTCTTTATTTATTTATTTATTTTTCTTCCTCCCTCGCTCCCTCCCTTTTTCTTTCTTTCTTTCCTTTCTTTCTTTCTTTCTTTCCTTCTTTCTTTCCTTCTTCCTTTCTTTTCTTCCTCCCTCTCTCCCTCCCTCCCTCCCTTTTTCTTTCTTTCTTTCCTTCTTTCTTTCCTTCTTTCCTTCCTTCCTTTCTTCCTCCCTTTCTTTCTTTCTTTCTTTCTTTCCTTCCTTCCTTCTTTCCCTCTTTCTTTCTTTCCATTCTTTGATATAGTTGCTCATTTTTGGTGGTGGCACAGTGGTGCTTCGGTAGTCAGAAATGCAGTATTTCAGGCTAACTCACTGCCCACAGCCTGGAGTTCAATCAGGGTGGGGCTCAAGGTTGACTCAGCCTTCCATCTTTCCAAGGTGGGTAAAATGAGGACCCAGATTGTTGGAGGGGGGGGGGGACAAGAGGCTGACTCCATAAACCGTTTAGAGAGGGCGGCAAAGCACTAGGAAGCAGTATATAGAGTAAGCGCTACTGCTATTGCACACTTCCCTTGTGGAGAGGTACGTGGGGTGTGCCAAGATCTCCAGTGGCGCCCACGGAGCTGGCATCTCCTGCCCTCCTCAGCCTCCCGCAGTCTGGGGTGCAGAAAATGCCTCTGTTCCTGGCAACGTTTTGGGTTTTTTTTGGCCAGGACAAGATTTTCAGATCAATTTGGGTGGGTCCTCCAGGTAAGTTCCAGGTGACCGAGAACAAAAGGCATCTTGTTGCTGCTAATTGTGTGTGAATCGCTAAATACTTTTCGAGTTCCATCCTGCTCCTTCCGGAGACCACACAAAACCCTCTCTGTGCGCTGACGGGAAAACACAGGAACATCTGTCATCCCGGCCACACGAAGGGCTTAGAAAGAAATGTTGTATATTTTAGGTGATTGAGTTGCACGCCTGGCTGCCTTCGCTCTGAGCCCTGTTTAGAAAAGCAGAGAATTAAAAAAAAGGGAGGGAGGGAGGGAGAGAGGGAGAGAGAGAGAGAGAGAGAGAGAGAGAGAGAGAGAGGATGGCTTGATAGACAGACAGATACGAATCCCAGTTACAAAGCTGAGGCAAGCAGAATAACAGGATTGGAAGGGACCTTGGAGATCTTCTAGTCCAACCCCCTGCTCAAGCAGGAAACTCTATTCAATTCCGGGCAACTGACTGTCCAGTCTCTTCTTAAACGCCTCCAGTGGTGGAGCATACAACTTAATAATAATAATAATAGAGTTGGAAGGGACTTTGGAGGTCATGTAGTCCAACCGCCTGCTCAGGCAGGAAACCCTGTCCCATTTCAGACAAATGGCTGTCCAGTCTCTTCTTAAAAACTTCCAGTGTTGGAGCATTCACCGCTTCTGGAGGCAGGTTGTTCCACTGGTGAATTGTTCTCCCTGTCAGGAAGTTTCTCCTTAGTTCTAGGTTGCTTCTCTCCTTGGTTAGTTTCTATCTGTTGCTTCTTGTCCTGCCTTTAGGTGCTTTGGAGAAGAGCTTGACTGCCTCTTCTTTGGGGCAGTCCCTGAGATACTGGAACACTGCTATCTTGTCCCCCCTTGTCCTTCTCTTCATTAAACTAGACATACTCAATTCCAGCAACCATATGTCTTAGCCTCCAGTCCCCTAATCATCTTTGTTGCTCTTCTCTGCACTTTTTCCAGAGTCTCAACATCTTTTTTTACATCGTGGTGACCAAAACTGGATGCAGTATTCCAGATGTGGCCTTACCAAGGCCTTGTAAAGTGGCATTAACTCTTCACGTAATCTTTATTCCATTCCTCTGTTAATGTGGCCTAGAACTGGGTTGGATTTTTTGGCAGCTGCAGCACACGGCTGGCTCATGTTTAAGTTATTAAATAAATATGACATTAAGCAGACAAGGCAGTTCCCTAAAATATCCTGGCTGTGGCCTTCTGCTCCCAAATTCTCAACCTGGGTCATGCTGAATGGGCAGCTATAGGAAGTGAGGTTGATGCTGCTGGGGGTAGGACCCAGGCTAGGGGAGGTGTAGACATGGGTCAAGACCCTGAATTAGAAAAAAATCTTTGTAGCTCAGGATTGAACTGTGAGGTCCTTGGTGCTCTTTGAGTTTGGATGTTTTCTTGCAGATGTTTCATGACCCAACTAGGGAACATCATCAGTGCTAGATGGAGTGGGGTTTGTGGAGAGGAGGAGGTGGTGGTGGTGGTGGTGGTGGAGGAGGAGGAGGAGGAGGAGGAGTGGGATTCCTTGGTGCTCTCTGAGCTTGGTTGTTTTCTTGCAGACATTTCATGACCCAACTAGGGAACAGCCTCAGTGGTAGAAGGGAGTATGGCTTGCTCTCTGTTTACACACACATGGCTTGCCCGGTCAGTGTTGATGGGGCTGTTGTCTTTTTCTTCTTGTTGCTTCCTTGATTGCTTCTTTGTTTGAGTTGGTAATTCCTGGTTTCTTTCCTGCTTAGCTGTTGGTCTAACATTGGTGGTTTATATCTGACACATGTCATTTGCCACCCATCTTTGAGCAGCTTTAACGTTGAAAGCTATAAAAACACAATACATAAATATTTCTAAAAACAATAAAATAGAATTACAATCGACAGTAGAATTGTAGTGAAGAAACAGGGAGGCAGAAAGCAGGATGTGCAGGGGGTGGTGGTGAAAACAGGTCAGGACTTGTCACTGCCTGAAGGAGATCCGTGGTGGGCAGGCCACCTTCTGGTGCCCAAGCTTCTGAGGGGTCTCCAGGTGCTGGACATCCCCCACCAGAAGGAGGCAGAGAGGGTGGATGGCCATGTTCCTCCTTCTTCTGTGGCTCTTTAGGGTCCAACCCATGGAGCAAGGACTCCGTTGATGCGTTCGTGACCAGCTGGGAACCAAGAAACCACCAGATGTTTGTGTTGAAGGCCACCAGCTCCATCTCCATTCTCTCACCTCCTTTCTTCCCCAAAATAGTTTGAAGAGGACATTTTGGACATCAGCTTGGAGCTGCTGGACAACAACCCCAAGTTCCTCCTTAATCAAGACAAGGACTGTGCTCGACGCAACAGCCCCGTCTACATCAGCAGGGTGGTGAGCGCCATGGTAAGACCACGGACCTTTGACCTGCACTCAAGGAAAGGACAGGATGGGTTTCTGGGCCAGGGTTGACTAGCCCTTCCTTGACAGAGGAGACCAGACTCCAAAGGATCCCCACCTTCTCTGATCTGGCTGAGTTCCTCAAGCAAGGTTTAAAGTTGATCCAAGGTCTAACAAGATGGACCTACACCAGGGGTAGACAACCTTGGCTCTTTTATGACTGGTGGACTTCAACTCCCAGAATTCCTGAGCCAGCATGGCTCACCTTGGAAACCTCTTCCTTTCCCCTCAGCATGGCTGGCTCAGGAATTCTGGGAGTTGAAGTCCACCAGTCATGAGGGGGCCATAGTTCCCCCATGCTGGCTCAGGAATGCTGGGAGTTGAAGTCCACCAGTCATGAGGGGGCCATAGTTCCCCCATGCTGGCTCAGGAATTCTGGGAGTTGAAGTCCACAGAGTCATGAGGGGGCCATAGTTCCCCCATGCTGGCTCAGGAATTCTGGGAGTTGAAGTCCACCAGTCATAAAAGAGCCAATTTTGCCTGCCCCTGACCTACACAAAACAATTTTGTAAACTTTGTTTTGTGGCAAACTTGTGCTGAGGGATCCTTGGTGCTCTCTGAGCTGAGTTGCTTTCTTGCAGACATTTCATGACCAAACTACGTAACATCATCAGTGCTGGAAGGGAGTGGGGTTTGTGGGGGGGGGAGGAGGAGGAGGTATACAATGTGGTCCTTGATGCTGCCTGAGCTTGATTGCTTTCCTGCAGACATTTCATGACCAAACTAGGTAACGAAGGGAACGAGCTTTGCTCTCAATTTACCCCACTCCCTGCTGGAACTGATGATGTTACCTAGTTTGGTAACGAAACGTCTGCAAGAAAACATCTAAGCTCAGAGAACCGCAAGGACCCCTCCGTTCAACCCTGAGTTACCCCTATTCTTCTTTCTCGACTGAAGCTTGTGTTATCTCATACGGAGGCGTTGCTTTCTTGGCTGCAGGTCAACTGCAACGACGACAAAGGCATCCTCTTTGGACGCTGGGACAACCGCTACGATGACGGGGTCAGCCCCATGACCTGGAGTGGCAGCGTGGACATCCTTCGGAGGTGGCAGAAGTACGGATGCCAACCGGTTCGGTACGGGCAATGCTGGGTCTTTGCCGCGGTGGCCTGCACAGGTGAGAATCCATAACAGGTCAAGATGCTGTCCAGGTGGGTCACAATCATGGAGGTGCCGCTGGTTGGAGGGAGAAGTTCAAGAAGTGTTCCACAGGTGCTTTTTCCCCAAAAGGAAAGCCAAATAGTAGTAGTAGTAATAATAATGATGATGATGATGATGATGATGATGATGGTGATGATGGTGATGATAATGGTAAAAATAAAAAATATCAATAGGTAGACAAAAAAGTCAAATCCAGTCTAAACATCTGGCTGACTGTGTGATGATCAATAATAACAACAACAACAACTATAATAATAATAAAGTTGGAAGCGACCTTGGAGGTCATCTAGTCTAACCCCCTGCTCAAATGGCTGTCCAATTTCTTTTTTTACGCCTCTTGTAAACCCTGAGCTAATAATAATAATAATAATAATAATAATAACAACAACAACAACAACAACAACAACAACAACAACAACTCTATCCCATTTCAGACAAATCATTGTCCAATCACTTCTTTAAAACTTCCAGTGTTGGAGCATTCACTGCTTCTGGAGGCAGGTTGTCCCACTGGTTAATTGTTCCGACTGTCAGGAAGTTTCTCCTTAGTTCCAAGTTGCTTCTCTCCTTGATTAGTTTCCATCCCTTGCTCCTTGTCCTGCCTCCAGGTGCCTTGGAAAATAGTAGTGTTCATCAAGTTCACCCCACCCCACCCCCAAATTCCTGCTGCCTCTTGTAAGTCTTGGGGAGAAGAGGAGGAGAATTCCTCAGCGTAATTAAAGCAAACCGGCAGGCAGATTTTCAAAAAGGAAACCTCAGATTGCTTTCCAAACCGCTCCTTGTTTGAAGCCGCTATGCGTCACCAGATTGTGGGCCGGGAAACCCCGATTTACAGACCTCAGACTGACAAGCATGGCTTGGCAGAGGGTGGACTGTGTGGGGGGGGAGCTCTGAAAGCTGAATCTAGCCGGGGCTGTGAACCCCAGAGAAAGCAGGGCAAGTGGAAGGAACGGCAAGCATGATTTTTGGAGAGACTCCCATTTCTCTTTGGTGCTGAAGCCTCCATGGCAAGGAGGAAACACAAGAGGTGACTTACAACGGTTCGTATAGTGACCGTTCCAACTTACAACAGCCTTCTCTCAAGAAAACAACAACAACAACCCCACAGAACCAGGCGCCTCCAGTTACCTCAATCTGCAACTTTGCAGCTGGGCTGAGGTTGGAAGTGGAGGAATTAGCGTCTCATCATTCATCCTTGTTATGCTCTGTTTCTGCAGAGATGGAATTATTTCTTATCTGTAGTGCAACCCGGCCTCCTCTTTTCTTTAATCTTTTTCTTCTAAATATTTAAAACCCTCTCGCTGTAGATATATTCCATTCGTGGGTTTCACCCCAGCAAGTTTCCGTAATGGCAGTAATGTCATATCTGCCCTCCTTTCCTTGACGCCCTGTTTGTTGCTCACACTCTGTGCGTTGGTGTAGAGACTTTGAGTCCTTTAGGGCTGACCCTGCGTTTACTTTCTACATCACCACTTTTGTGTCTGAGTTCTGCTACTTCCTTACCGCCTGTTTGATTAGTGCACACAGTATGGCACATTTGAACAGAACAGAACATGGAATAGAATAGAATAGAATAGAATAGAATAGAATAGAATGGAATGGAATGGAAATAGAAATAGAATAGAATTGAGTTAAAGAATAGAATAGAATAGAATAGAATAGAATAGAATAGAATAGAATAGAATAGAATAGAATAGAATAGAATAGAATAGGATGGAAGGGAAGAATAGAATAGAATGGAATGGAATGGAATGGAAATAGAAATAGAATAGAATTGAGATAAAGAATAGAATAGAATAGAATAGAATAGAATAGAATAGAATAGAATAGAATAGAATAGAAGAGTTGGAAGGGGCCTTGGAGGTCTTCTAGTCCAACCCCCTGCTCAAGTGGGAAATCCTATACTAGTGATGGTGAACCTTTTAGAGACCGAGTGCCCAAACTGCAACCCAAAACCCACTTATGCATCGTCAGGTGCCGGGTGGGTGTAGCCCATTGGGTGGGGGTGGCCCATTGGGTGGGCGTGGCTGCGGTGGTAACGGCAAACTGGGTGGGACTAAAAAGTTCAATCAATCCATTCCAACTTTGCAAGATCTTTTTTTTTCCCGCGAGAAGTTGAAATTGACTGATTGATTGAACCTTTTTTTTTTGCACACGGCGGCAGAGGCTTAAAGCAAAAAGGTTTTTTAAAACCCAGCTGAAGGCCTAGGACTGGAGTGATGGCGCGCGTGCCCACTGAGTGCCGCCTCTGGCACCCGTGCCATAGGTTCACCACCACTGCCCTATACCATTTTGCAAAAATGGCTGTCCAGTCTCTTCTTAAAAACTTCCAGTGTTGGAGCATCCACAGCTTCTGGAGGCAGGTAGTTCCACTGGTATATTGTTCTAACTGTCAGGAAGTTTCTCCTTAGTTCCAGCTTGCTTCTCTCCTTGATCAGTTCCCATCCGTTGCTTCTTGTGATGGAAACTGGATGCAGGATTTCTCCTGCCTGCGGTATTAAAGCATCTTTCCCCCTTTTTTGTGCCCTGCAGATGCCTTGCTCAATGTTGAATATTCTTTGAATGTTTTTTTTTTAAAAAAAGAAATCACCTCCCTAGGTGTGTCTTCCCTTCCCACACAAGGCCTACAAGCACACAGCTAAGCTCCCATGCTGAGTTGTGGGTAGCTGCGTGCCAGGGCTCAATCCCAGAGTGGGTGTTTTAAGCAGAGGAAATGGAGCAAAGAATTGTTCCTTGATTGGATCGGCTTGAATGGCCAGCCAGACTTTAGTCAAGAAAGGCCGTCGCTCTGTAGCCCCATCATCCAAGCTCTTTTTTAAAACAAACAAACAATATTCAGCTATAGGGTAGGCCACCTTGGCTCTTTTATGACTCGTGGACTTCAACTCCCAGAATTCTTGAGCCAGCCACGCTGAGGGGAAAGGGAGAGGTTTCCAAGCTGAGCCATGCTGGCTCAGGAATTCTGGGAGTTGAAGTCCACGAGTCATGAGGGGGCCATAGTTCCCCCATGCTGGCTGAGGAATTCTGGGAGTTGAAGTCCACAAGTCATGAGGGGGCCATAGTTCCCCCCCCATGCTGGCTCAGGAATTCTGGGAGTTGAAGTCCACCAATCATGAGGGGGGCCATAGTTCCCCCATGCTGGCTCAGGAATTCTGGGAGTTGAAGTCCACGAGTCATGAGGGGGGCCATAGTCCCCCCATGCTGGCTCAGGAATTCTGGAAGTCCACGAGTCATGAGGGGGTCATATTTCCTCCATGCTGGCTCAGGAATTCTGGGAGTTGAAGTCCGCAAGTCACGAAGGGGCCGTAGTTCCCCCATGCTGGATCAGGAATTCTGGGAGTTGAAGTCCACCAGTCATAAAAGAGCCAAGGCTGCCTACCTCTGAGCTACAACAACACTACAGGTTGTCCTTGACTTACAAGCGTTCGTTTAGTGACCATTGGAAGTTACAAAACGGCACTGAAAAAGGGGACTTACAACCATTTTCCCACACTTAAGACCGTCATAGCATCCCCCTTTGTGGTGCTTGGCATCTGGCTCGTACTTATGACGGTTATGGAGTGTTCCAGGGTCACGTGATCCCTTTTTGCGACCGTCTGACAAGCCTTGTCAATGGGGGGGAGCCAGATTCACTTAACAACCGGGTTACTAACTTAACAGCTGCAGTGATTCGCTTAACAACAGTAGCCAAAGGGGACAAAACTCACTAAACAAATGTCTCACTTAGCAACCTAGATTGTTGTCGTAAGTTGAGGACTGCCTGTACTGTTCCTCAGCCTTAGCTCCTTTAAGACGTGTGGACTTCAGTTCCCAGAAAGTTCTCCGTTGCAAGCCAGGATGCCGATGTGGGTTTGCCAACAGACTAGCATAGAATGAGCAGAAAGGTGGTTTGGCTTTCCCAAGCGGGAGCCGGGCGCCTCTTCTGCCCAGAGACCGAACAGGTGCTGAACCGGCTACTTTCTCTCCCCCCCCCCCCGCCTAGTGCTCCGGTGCCTGGGGATCCCGGCACGCGTGGTGACCAACTACAACTCAGCCCACGACACGAACGGGAACCTGGTCATCGAGCAGTACCTGGACGAGAACGGGAAGCTGCAGAGGGGGAACCGGGATATGATCTGGTGAGTCAGGTGGGGGGAAGGGCAACACTGGGGCTCCAACTGCCTCCTCTGCCTCCTCCTCCTCTTGTCAAACCCCCTCCTTTCTAGCATGGATGACGTTACCTAGTTGGGTCATGAAACGTCTGCAAGGAAACAGCCAAGCTCAGAGAGAACCAAGGACCCCACAGTCTTCCTCCTCCTCCTCCTCCTCCTCCTCCTCCTCCTCCTTTTCCTTGTCCTCTCTGCAAACCCTCCCTTCTAGCACTGATGATGTTACCTAGTTGGGTCATGAAACGTCTGTGAGGAAACAGCCAAGCTCAGAGAGCACTAAAGACCCCACAGTCCTCCTTCTCCTCCTCTTCCTCCTCTCTGCAAATCCCCCTCCCTTCTAGCATTGATAATGTTATCTAGTTGGGTCATGAAAGTACTGGAAGGAAACATCCAAGCTCAGAGAGAACCAAGGATCCCACAGGCTTCCTCCTCCTCCTTCTCTTCCTCCTCTTCCTCCTCCTCCTCCCTTCTAGCACTGATGACGTTCCCCAGTTGAGTCATGAAACGTCTGCCCGAAAGCCACCCAGCCCAGAGAGCACCAAGGACCCCCCCCCCAAGCTTTCCACTGGCCAGCAGATACTAACAGGGCCCAATTTGCCAAGGGGCTCCTGGGACCCTCCACAGACTAGCAGAACTAACACAACTCTCCTCCCACAATCCCCCTCCTCAACGGCGGGCAAGAGAAGGACCCTCCGTCCTTTTCTGCAGGAATCCGGCCTTACCAGCCGCCCTTTCCTGCCCAGCCCCGTCTGTCCTGTCTGCACCACGGGCGAGACGGGGGTGACTCAGCCCCCTTGACCTCTTTCCCCCTCCCTCTACTCACTTTTGCTCTCCCTCTCCTTCCTCCTCCCCCCCCCCCAGCTTTTGCAGCTGCAGCCTTGAACTCTGCTCCCTCTTTGCTCGAGGCCTGCACAAACATGGCTGTCTGGACGATGGCAACACCCCCCCCCCCCCATGCAGAAAAGCATTAATTTTTTTCAGATGTCTGGTTGCTAATCTCCCAGTCCCTAGTTTTTAAGTTCTCCTTCGTGCAATTGCGTAAGAGCTGGGGAGGACTCTGGGGAGGACTCACCGTTGCCTCAATAAGTCACAGAGGCTCTGTTTTTAATTCCCGCATTTATTTATTTGTACTCATAGCCTGAGGGGCCAGGCAGGTCTCGGAAAAGCCCCGTTTTCCTTCCCCAAAGGGTCTCTTGCCAGCGGGGAGGCTGCCTCCTCCGCCACGGGATGACCTTCGCTCCCCCTAACAATGTCCTTTTTTCTCCAGACTTTTCTAAGAAGAGGGGGTGGCCCGCTCAGCAATCAGCACCGCTTCTCTTTTTCTTTTTATAAAGCAAGAAGCCCCAGGCAAAGCAGAGAGTGTCCCCAGAGTTCCTTTATTTATGCATAAGTGTTCCTCCACTTACGACCAGAATGGAACCCAAACTTTCCATTGCAGGCAAGACAGTTTTTAAGTGAGGTTTTCAACCTTTCTTGACACTGTTGAAAAGTGACTCACTTTTCTTCTAGCCCAACCCCTCCCCCCGCTCAAGTGAAAATTTGGTGACATGGCTGTTAAATTAATCTGGCATTAGGATAGGATAGGATAGGATAGGATAGGATAGGATAGGATCATGGGATAGGATCATGGGATAGAATAGAATAGAATAGAATAGAATAGAATAGAATAGAATAGAAATACAGAAGAGAACAGAACAAAATAGAATAGAAATACAGAATAGAATAGAATAGAATAGAATAGAATAGAATAGAATAGAATAGAATAGAAATACAGAAGAGAAGAGAACAGAACAGAACAGAATAGAAATACAGAATAGAATAGAATAGAATAGAATAGAATAGAAATACAGAATAGAACAGAATAGAATAGAAATACAGAATAGAATAGAACAGAACAGAATAGAATAGAACAGAACAGAATAGAATAGAACAGAATATAATAGAAATACAGAATAGAACAGAACAGAATAGAATAGAAATACAGAATAGAACAGAACAGAATAGAATAGAATAGTTGAAAAGGAACCCTGGAGGCCCTCTAGTCCAACCCCCTGCTCAGGCAGGAAACCCTCCCCCATTCCCTCTTGACTTTGCCTATCAGAGGGCCAGGAAAGGAGGTCACATGACCCCAACCATCATAAATACAAACCAGATGCCAAGGCTCTGAATTTTGATCACGTGACCCTGGGGGATGCTGCAGTGATCCTGTGAAAAACGGTCACAAATCAGTATTTTCCAGTGTCGTCGTAACTTGGAACGGTCACTAAATGAACAGCTGCCTTACCTTTGGATGCTTCCCATCTCACTACTCAAAGCCCTCTAAAGCACAAAGGTAAAAACATGAAAAGGATCAGGAATTAGATAAAACGAGGAAGCCAGTCCACCAAAGGCTTTGAGGCCCCCCCCCCCACCTCCCCCCCCTTTAAAGCAAGAGGCTTCTAAACTAAGCCACGGTCCGCTAATTAAAATCAGAAATAGCTAAACTGTGAGAAACAAGGAAGGGAAACAACGGAGAAGGTGCCCTGGAGCGCGTACCCAAGGGCTGGGAAATAGGAAAGAGATTCATGCATCGTGATAATCTTGCGCGGATCGGTAGGTGGACCTCATGGTCCATGGGAGGTGCCATAACCACCCTTGATCACTCCCGAGGCTTCGATCTTGCTGGCTTCCATTGAATCCTTGTTGGCTAGAGCAGTGGTTCTCAACCTTTTTAATGCCGCGACCCCCAACCGGTCGTAAGTCGAGGACTACTCAACCGGTCGTAAGTCGAGGACTACTCAACGGGTGCAGCACCGTTTGCAGACTGGCACTTTTGGCGGGCTCAGCAGGGCAGAGACAGCCTGGACAATTCCTATTGGCTTTGGAAAGCCAATAGAATGAGACTCTATTCAAGAGTCTAATAGAAAGCCAATAGAATAAAAGGGAGTAGCACAGCTAAGGAAAAGGGAAAAAAATGGCGGACTGTGTTGTTTGGTGACCCCCGTGAAATGGTCATTTGACCCCAAATGGAGTCCCGACCCACAGGTTGAGAACCACTGGGCTAGAGGATGGAGAATGTGCAAGGAATCCAGGCCTCTTATCAGTGAGAGCATGGTGGACATTTCCACCCTGTAGAACCTCAGGTGGAATGTGGAAAAGGCTGTCCCTGGATCTTCTCAACCATTCCTTCTCCTTCTCTTGGTCTCTCCTTCCTTTCTTGACCCAGGAATTTTCACTGCTGGGTGGAATGTTGGATGGCCCGTCCAGACCTTCCAAGCGGCTACGACGGCTGGCAGGCCTTGGATCCCACTCCACAGGAAAAAAGTGAAGGTAAGTGGTGGAGACATTCCCAGCGGTGGAAGTGTGCCAAATCCACACTTGTAAGGTCACTGCATCCAGTTTGGTCGCCACAATAGAAAAAAGGTGCTGAGACTCTGGAAAGAGAAGAGCAACAAAGATGATCAGGGGACTGGAGGATAAAACATATAAGGAACAGTTGCTGGAATTGGGTATGTCTAGTTGAACGAAGAGAAGGACGAGGGGGGACAGGATAGCAGTGCTCCAGTATCTCAGGGGCTGCCCCAAAGAAGAAGCAATCAAGCTATTCTCCAAAGTGCCTGAAGGCAGGACAAGAAGCAGCGGATGGAAACACATCAAGAATTTGGGAGCAGAAGGTCACAGCCAGGATATTATTTAGGGAACTGCCTTGTCTACTTAATGTCAACTTTATTTAATAACTTAAACATGAGCCAGCCGTGTGCTGCAGCTGCCAAAAAGGCCAATACAGTGCTAGGCTGCATTAACAGAGGGACAGAATTATTAATGGCACTTTACAAGGCCTTGGAATTCTGCATCCAGTTTTGGTCACCATAATATAAAAACAGATGTTGAGACTCTGGAAAGAGTACAGAGAAGAGCAACAAAGATGATCAGGGGACTGGGGCTTTAAACATATGAAGAAGGTTGCAGGAATTGGGTGTGTCTAGTTGAATGAAAAGAAGGACCAGGGGTGACATGATAGCAGTGTTTTAATATTTGAGGGGCTGCCACAAAGAAGAGGGAGTCAAGCTATTCTCCAAAGCACCAGAAGCAACGGATGGGAACTAACCAAGGAGAGAAGCAACCTAGAACTAAGGAGAAACTTTCTAACAGTGACAACAATTAACCAATGGAACAACCTACCTCCAGAAGGTGTGGGTGCTCCATCACTGGAAGTTTTTAAGAAGAGACTAGGCAGCCATTTGTCTGGGATGGTATAGGGCAAGGGTAGGCAACCTTGGCTCTTTTATGACTGGGGGACTTCACCTCCCAGAATTCCTGAGCCAGCATGGGGGAACTATGGCCCCCTCATGACTGGTGGACTTCAACTCCCAGAATGCCTGAGCCAGCATGGCTCAGCTTGGAAACCTCTCCCTTTCCCCTCAGCATGGCTGGCTCAGGAATTCTGGGAGTTGAAGTCCACCAGTCATAAAAGAGCCAAGGTTGCCTACCCCTGGTATAGAGTCTGTTGCTCCAGAAAGGAGTTGGGCTAGAAGACCTCCAAGGTCCCTTCCTGCTGTGTTATTCTATGTTCTGTGTGCTCCCTCTGCAGGAGTCTTCTGCTGCGGGCCAACTCCGGTGAAAGCCGTCAGGGAAGGAGACCTTGACCTGAAGTACGACGTGAAGTTTGTCTTTGCCGAGGTCAACGCCGAGGTGGCCTTCCTGATGCTGCAGAGTGACCTGTCCCGCAAGAAGACCATGCACCCCACCATCGTGGGCAAGAAGATAAGCACCAAGAGCGTGGGAAGGGACACCAAAGAGGACATCACGCACACCTACAAGCATCGTGAAGGTATTTCGCAGCAACTTGGTGGGCCGTGGGAAAATTGGGCGGAAAGATAGGCAGTCCCAAGCTTACGACCGTCGCTGAGCCTGGAATTGCAGTCATTCCTTATGCCAATCCTTAAGTGGCTCCCCACATGGAGATGACCAAACTTCTGACCTTTTTGAAGTGTTCATTAAGTGAATGCAGATAGAACAATTAATCAGTGGAACTACCTGCCTCCAGAAGTTGTGAATGCTCCAACACTGGAAGTTTTTAAGAAGAGACTGGATAGCCAATTGTCTGAAATGGTATAGGGTTTCCTGCCTGAGCAGGGGGTTGGACTAGATGACCTCCAAGGTCCCTTCCAACTTTATTATTATTATTATTATTATTATTATTATTATTATTATTATTATTATTATTATTATTATTATTATTGTTGTTGTTGTTATTGATCACCGCACAATCAGCCAGGTGTTCAGACTGGATTTGGCATTTTGTCTACCTATCAAGTCCTTACCCAGGACCTGGGATAGGCAGATGTGGATGTTTGATGGTATTACAGGTATCGTCGCAGGATGGAAGCAGTTCCTAATAAGGCCGCCTTTTGCAATTGACTAATAGCGAATTTGTCAATGCCAATGTGTTCAAGTGGTGCTCCAGTTGTTTTGGGATTGCACCCAAGGAGCCTATGACTATTGGTACTACCCTTGCTTGCTTTTGCCACAGTCTTTCTATTTCTATTTGTAGGTCTTTGTATTTTGTTATCTTCTCCAGTTCTTTCTCGTCTATTCTGCTGTCTCCAGGCACTGCCACGCCCACTATCCAGACTTTTTTGTCTTTCTTAGCGACAATTGTTAAGTCTGGGGTGTTATGTTGCAGGTGCTTGTCTGTTTGAATTCTGAAGTCCCAGAGCAGTTTAATTTTATCATTTTCTATGACTTTCTCTATTTATGATCCCACCAGTTTTTGCTTACAGGCAAATGATATTTTTTGCAGATCTTCCAATGCACCATTGTTGCTACTTTGTCATGCCGCTGCTTGTAGTCAGTCTGTGCAATCTTCTTGCAACAGCTTACCAGGTGGTCCACTGTTTCTTCAGCTTCTTTGCATAGGCGGCACTTACTGTATGTTGCTGTCTTCTCAATTTTGACTTTGTATGCATTTGTCCTTAAGGCTTGGTCTTGTGCAGCCAGAATTAGTCCCTCGGTCTCTTTCTTCAATTTTCCTGCTCTTAGCCATTGCCATGTCTTGTTATTATCTGCTTTCCCAGCTATTTTTTAATGTATTGGCCATGTAGTGCTTTGTCTTCCCATGCCTCTATTCTGTTCTTCATTTGGTCTTTCCTGTAGGCCAGTTTGGTCTCTCCAGTAGTCAGTAAGCCTTCCTGATATACTAATTTCAGTGCATCTTCATCATTGTTCTTCAGATATTCTTCCAAAGCCATTTTTCTTCTTCAACCATCTGATGTACTTGTAGCATTCCACGCCCACCTATTTGCCTTGGTAGATAAAGTCTATCAATGTCACTGCGTGGATGAAGGGCGTGATTCATTGTCATTATTTTTCTGGTCTGCCTATCCATTGCTTTTAGTTCTGCTTGAGTCCAGTCCACTATTCCAGCTGTGTACCTAATGACTGGGATTGCCCAGGTGTTGATTGCCTGTATGGTATTTCCTCCATTGAGTTTGGACTTTAAGATCTTCTTCACTCTCTGGATGTATTCACCTCTAATCTTTTTCTTGACTTCAGTGTGCTTGATGTTGTCAGCTTGAAGGATACCCAAGTATTTGTAGTAATCTTCCTCATCCAGACTCTTAATGTTATTTTCGTGGGGCATCTTGATTCCTTCAGTTTTCACTATTTTTCCTTGTTTGATAGTACGTGTGGCACATTTGTCCAAGCCAAACTCCATTACAATATCTTGGCTATATATACGGACAGTGTTGAGCAGCGATTCTATTTCAGATGATGTTTTTCCATACAGCTTCAGATCATCCATATAAAGGAGGTGGGATAGTCTGGAAGATGTTTTTGATGTTTGATAGCCATGTCCTGAGTTATTCAGTATTGTTGACAGAGGAAACAGTGCAATAACAAATAGTAATGGTGATAATGAATCTCCTTGAAATATTCCTCTCTTGATATTAACCTCTCCCAGCCTCTCACCATTGATCTGCAACTGTGTCTTCCATTGTGCCATCCATCTTTGCACAAATTTTCTGATGTTTCTACTGACTCCTGTTATTTCTAGGCACTTGATTATCCAATCATGTGGCAGAGAGTCAAATGCCTTTTTGTAGTCAATCCATGCCACATTCAGGTTGGTCTTCCTTCTCTTGCAGTTTTCTAAGATCATTTTGTCTATTAGGAGTTGATCTTGTGCAGCCAGAATTAGTCCCTTGGTCTCTTTCTTCAACTTTCCTGCTCTTAGCCACTGCCAGGTTATTATCTGCTTTCCCAGTTATTTTTTTTAATGTACTGGCCATGTAGTGCTTTGTCTTCCCATGCCTCTATTCTGTTCTTCATTTGGTCTTTATTATTATTATTGTTGTTGTTGTTGTTGTTGTTGTTGTTGTTGTTATAGTGTGCAGAGTTTCTTCAGAAATAAGTGGGGTTTTGCAGCATTCCTCCTATGCAGGTGGAGGGAGAGGAGCTGCCCTCTGGGTACCCCCCAAAAAGGACATTTTTCAGCGTTCTCTGCCCGTCTTTTTCCTGCAGACTCGGAGGAGGAGAGAGCCAGCTTCGACAAGGCGAAACACGAGAAGACCCAGACCCCACAGGAGGAAGGCTTGGCCCTCAAGATCAAGGCTTCCGAGGGGATGAACAACGGATGTGACTTCGATGTCTTTGTGGTCGTCAACAACAACACGCCCGAGGAATGCCTCTGCCAGCTGAGGATTTCGGCCGCCACCACCAGCTACAACGGGGAGCTGGGCCCCGAGTGCGCGTGCAAGGACCTGTTGAATATCAACATGGAGCCCCACGGAGGTAGTGTCCGAAGAACAATTGGGGGTTCCAAATTACGAGCCAGGGCTGTGCAAGGATGCTTCAAAATGAAACCCAGACAGCTGTGAGGAAAGAAGAATTATTGATTCCCCAAAGCAAAGAGATTTGCCTGGAGGGGGAAGGCAGCTGCAGAGAAATGGAGCCTAGAGAGATTGTTTTATAGGGGGGCTTGTCTTTGGTGTGGGTCTTGAGGGGTGTGGAAGTGTGTACGTGCTGGTTCTAGGGAGACACTTGAGGGGCGTGTGTACGTGTTGACCCAGAGAACAGGTCAATTAGGGGGTTGGACTAGATCATCTCCAAGGTCCCTTCCAACTTTATCATTGTTATTATAACCCCCGGCTCAAGCAGGAGACCCTATACCATTTCAGACAAATGGCTGCCCAGTCTCTTCTTGACAATCTCCAGGGATGGAGCCACCACAACTTCTGGAGACAAGCAGTTCCACTGGTTAATTGTTCTCCCTGTCAGGAAGTTTCCACTTAGTTCCAGGTTGCTTCTCTCCTTGATTGGTTTCCATCTGTTGCTTCTTGTCCTGCCTTCAGGCGCTTTGGAGAATAGCTTGACTCGCTCAGCAGGGCAGAGACAGCCTGGACAATTCCTACTGGCTTTGGAAAGCCAATAGAATTAGACTCTATTCAAGAGAGTCTCTTCTATTGGCTTTCAAAAGCCAATAGAATAAAAGGGAGGAGCACAGCTAAGGAAAAGGGGGAAAAAATGGCGGACTGCGTTGTTTGGCGACCCCCGTGAAATGGCCGTTCGACCCCAAATGGGGTCCCGACCCACAGGTGGAGAACCACTGGTCTGGATGAAGCTTGCGTTTGAAGCACAAATTCTGCAGAAAGATGGTGGAATCAAAAGCTGGAGGAACCAGGAGGGAGGCTCTGCGTGAGGCTGTTCCTTTGCGCTCTCTCTTTCTCTCTCTGTCTTTCTCTCCAGGAAAAATGACGTGTTTTTTTCCATAGCTGGGAAGGGCTCTGAAGGCCCCCAAGGAGAGCTCAGATCTTCCAGCCCGGAGCTATTTTTGGATTTAGGTAGAACTCCCGCCTCAGATTGACCTCCACAAGTTAAATGGGTTGCATCTAAAACTCCTCTGCAGCAGATTTAATTGATCAAACATGTTAAGGAGGAGGACTGGGTCCCTGAAGGAAGAAACCCAACGGAGCTTTTTTCTGATTGAAATCCATGGGTTTTGCCAGCGACTCCCCGACCTCCGTCCTTTCTGCGTTTTTCATGACCCCGGCCTTCTCTCTTCGTTCTCTTGGCTTCAAAGAGAGAAGCAACCTGGAATTAAGGAGAAACTTCCTGACAGTGAGGACAATGAACCAGTGGAACAGCTGGACACCAGAAATCGTGGGTGCCCCATCACTGGAGGTTTTTAAGAAGAGACTGGACAGTCACCTGTCTGAGATGGTATAGGTCAGGAGTAGGCGACCTTGGCTCTTTTATGACTGGTGGACTTCAACTCCCAGAATTCCTGAGTCAGCCTGGCTCAGCTTGGAAACTCTCCCTTTCCCCTCAGCGTGGCTGGCTCAGGAATTCTGGGAGTTGAAGTCCACCAGTCATAAAAGAGCCCAGGTCGCCTACTCCTGGTATAGGTTCTCCTGCTTGAGCAGGGGGCTGGACTAGAAGACCTCCAAGGTCCCTTCCAGCTCTATTCTATTCTATGCTATGCTATGCTATTCTATTCTATTCTTATTTCTAATTCTATTCTTATTTCTAATTCTATTCTATTCTATTCTTATTTCTAATTCTATTCTTATTTCTAATTCTATTCTATTCTATTCTTATTTCTAATTCTATTCTATTCTATTCTGTTCTTATTTCTAATTCTATTCTATTCTGTTCTTATTTCTAATTCTATTCTTATTTCTAATTCTATTCTATTCTTATTTCTAATTCTATTCTATTCTATTCTGTTCTTATTTCTAATTCTATTCTTATTTCTAATTCTATTCTATTCTTATTTCTAATTCTATTCTATTCTGTTCTTTTCTAATTCTATTCTTATTTCTAATTCTATTCTTATTTCTAATTCTATTCTATTCTTATTTCTAATTTTATTCTAATTTCTAATTCTATTCTTATTTCTAATTCTCTTCTCTTCTCTTCTCTTCTCTTCTATTCTATTCTATTCTATTCTATTCTATTCTATTCTATTCTATTCTATTCTGTATTTCTATTCCAGACTTCGTTTGGAATCCGGCAGTGTCTAAACTGAATAAATTTAATTAAATGGCCATGGTGGAAAAATATAAGACGATGGCCAGAACGTGACCATCGAAATGCCACCCTTTGCATAGGCAACATTATTATTTTTTATAGGTTGTCCTTGACTTACGACCACAACGGAGCCCAAAATTTCCGTTGCTAAGCGAGACATTTGTTCAGTGAGTTTTGCCTCATTTTACGACCTTCCTTGCCACAGTCGAAGTCCACAGTTCTTAAAGTAGCCAAAGTTGGACACTTCTGGTCTAAATGAAGCAAAGAGCCCATTAATGCATCGTAGCACAAACTCCACAAATATCCAACGCATCAAAACATAAAATGAAAGACATTATCTCTGTGAAAGTCCAACGACACACAACCTTTCCAGAGCCAAAAGAGAGCCGGATTCTGACCATGCTCCCTCCGTGTTTCCCCCTGCAGAAAAGACGGTCCCCCTGCGGATCCCCTACGAGAAGTACGGCAGCTGCCTCACCCCGGACAACATGATCAAAGTCACGGCTGTGCTGCAGCAGTACGAGAACCAGAAGATCCTCCTCGCGGTGCGGGACTTCCACGTCAAGAACCCCGACATCAAAATCCGGGTGAGGCGATTTGGGGGGAAGGGGCGGGAGGGTCCCTTGGACAAGGAGAAGGAAAGGGGGGCAAGGGGATTAGGGTGGGGTCACTGGTGGGGCGGCTGGAATAACCTTTGGGGTGGCTCAGAGCTCTCGGCCATCTCTATCTATCTATCTATCTCCATCTCTATCCATCCACCTACCTACCTACCTACCTCTCTCTCTCTAATTATCCACCTCTATCGCTCTCTATCTCTATCACTCTCTCTCTCGCTATCTCTCTATCTCCATCTATATCTATCCATCCATCTACCTACCTATCTCTCGCTCTCTTTCTCTATCTATCTATCTATCTATCTATCTATCTATCTATCTATCTATCTATCTATCTCCATCTCTATCTATCCATCCATCCATCCATCCATCCACCCAACCACCCACCTACCTACCTACCTACCTATCTATCTATCTATCTATCTATCTATCTACCTTCTATCTATCTCCATCTCTATCCATCCATCCATCCACCTACCTACCTACCTACCTCTCTCTCTCTCTAACTATCTATATCTATCGCTCTCTATCTCTATCACTCTCTATCTCTCGCTATCTATCTTCCATCTCTATCTATCCATCCATCTACCTACCTACCTATCTCTCTCTATCTATCTATCTGTCTATCTATCTATCTCCATCTCTATCTATCCATCCATCCATCTACCTACCTCTCTCTCTCTCTCTCTCTATTTATTTATCTATCTCCATCTCTATCCATCCATCCATCTATCCATCCATCCATCCATCTACCTACCTACCTACCTACCTACCTATCTATCTCTATCCATCCATCTACCTACCTACCTACCTACCTACCTACCTACCTACCTACCTACCTCTATCTATCCATCCATCCATCTATTCATCTACCCATCCATCCATATCTATCTATCTCTATCCACAAGTCTTAAAGTTGCCAAGTCTGAAGACCCCGGGTCAGTAACTTCTCCTCTTTCTGACCTGCAGATTTTGGGCGAGCCGATGCAGAAGCGCAAACTGGTGGCTGAGCTGACCCTGTCCAACCCCCTCCCCACCGCCCTGACCGGCTGCGTCTTCACCATGGAGGGGGCTGGACTGACCGGAGGGCAGAAAACGCAGCAGCTGTAAGTGTGACAGGAGGGTGCTAGAACCAGCAAAGGCAGCTGGTTCCTTCCAGGAAAATCATTGGGGTGGGCTCAAATGTCATTAAAAAACAAAACAAACTAAACTAAACTAAACTAAACTAAACTAATAAAATAAAACAAAACAAAACAAAACAAAACAAAATAAAATAAAATAAAATAAAATAAAATAAAATAATAAAAGAAAAGAAATAGTAAATGAAATAATGAAATGAGATGAAATAAATTATCTAAACTAAAATAAAATAATGAAATGAAATGAAATAATGAAATGAAATGAAATGAAATGAAGGAAATGAAGGAAATAAAATAAAATAAAATATAGAATATAAATTAAAATAAAATATAAAAAATAATAAAATCAAATTATGATTGGCCACGGTCCCGTCGAAATTAATTGGACTTTTGTACACAGTAACCCCTTGACTTATGACCACAGCTGAGCCCCAGAGTTCTGCCGCTAAACGAGACATTTTATGACAGCTGTTCAGGGCAGCACTGCAGTTCTTAAGGTCAGTTCACCCGGCTTTCCCCATTGACTTTGCTTGATCAAAAAGTCCCAAAAGGGGGATCATGTGACACTGGGGACACTGCAACCGTCATAAGTATGAATCAGTTGCCCATCGCCTGAATTTTGATCACATGACCACGGGAGGCTGCAACGGTCAGAAGTGTGAAAAATGGCCGTCACTCACTTTTTTCAGTGATGTCATAACTTTGAACGGTCACTAAATGATCTGTTCTAAGTCGAGGACTAGGTGCATTGGTTGAATTATCAAGCGGCCACTTGGTCGCAGAGAGTTGTCCCATTCCGGAGGTCGTAGGAGGGTTTCCCAAAGATGCTTTTTCAAGAGAACTGGAATATCTTGTTTTTTTTCCTTTGAAGTCGTTTCGCTTCTCCTCCCAGAAGCTTCTTCAGGTTCTGACCGGATGGCGAGGAATGGGAGGATTTATACTCCTTGCAGACAGCTGGTCCTTTGCATTCCTTTTAGAGGGTCGTTGAGGCCACTGGGAGCTTGACCTATGTCCTCAGGGTCACCTGAGTGGTGCAAATGGATGGGGAGCCTTCCTGGAACTGCTGAAGGGACCGTGTTGTAGACTGGAGATGGATAATGTTGTATTCTCCCCCCCCCCCCCCGTTGAGAGAGGACTGTTCAGTTTTGGCCAAGATGGCCTCTTTGACTCCTCTTATATCTATAGCAAAATTGAACCGCTCTCTCTCAACAGAGAGTGGGGGGAGACACAACATCATCTATCTCCACAACACGGTCCTTTCAGCAGTTCCAAGAAGGCTCCACATCCATTTGCACTACTCAGACGATCCTGAAGACACAGATAAACCTCCAGGTGGCCTCAAGGACTCTCTTAAAGGAATGCAAAGGAGCAGCTTTCTGCAAGGAGTATAAATCCTTCCCTTCCCCACCATCCGGTCAGAACCAGAGGAAGCTTCTGGGATGAGAAGGGAAACGTCTTCCAAGAAACAATAGTTGGAAACTGACCAAAGAGAGAAGCAACCTGGAATTAAGGAGAAACTTCCTGACAGTGCAGACAATTAACCAGTGGGACAGTTTGCCACCAGAAGTTGTGGGTGCTCCAACACTGGAGGTTTTCAAGAAGAGACTGGACAGTGACTTGTCTGAGATGGTATAGGGTCTCCTGCTTGAGCAAGGGGCTGGACTAGAAGATCTCCAAAGTCCCTTCCAGCTCTATTCTGTTCTATTCTAGTCTATTCCATTCCACTCCACTCCACTCCACTCCACTCTACATAATAATAATAATAATAATAATAATAATAATAATAATAATAAAAGTTGGAAGGGACCTTGGAGGTCATCTAGTCCAACCCCTGCTCAGGCAGGAAACCCTATACCATTTCAGACAAATGGCTGTCCAGTCTATTCTAACCCATAATTCTATTCTATTCTATTCTATTCTATTCTATTCTATTCTATTCTATTCTATTCTATTCTATTCTATTAATTCCATTCTACTCTAATCCAGATTCTATTCTGTTCTGTTCTGTTCTATTCTAGTCTATTCTAGTCTATTCTGTATTTATTCTATTCTGTTCTGTTCTATTCTGTTCTTTTCTGTTCTATTCTATTCTGTTCTGTTCTGTATTTATTCTGTATCTATTCCAGTGGTTCTCAACCTTTTTAATGCCGCGACCCCCAACCGGTCGTAAGTCGAGGACTACTCAACTGGTGCAGCACCGTTTGCAGACTGGGACTTTTGGTGGGCTCAGCAGGGTAGAGACAGCCTGGACAATTCCTATTGGCTTTTGAAAGCCAATAGAATTAGACTCTATTCAAGAGAGTCTATTCTATTGGCTTTCAAAAGCCAATAGAATAAAAGGGAGTAGCACAGCTAAGGAAAAAGGGAAAAAAATGGCGGACTGCATTGTTTGGCGACCCCCGTGAAATGGTTGTTTGACCCCAAATGGGGTCCCGACCCACAGGTTGAGAACCACTGCTCTATTCTATTCTATTCTGTATTTATTCTACTCTACTCTACTCTACTCTACTCTACTCTACTCTACTCTACTCTACTCTACTCTACTCTACTCCTCTACTCTACCCCATAATTCTATTCTATTCTATTCCAAAAACGAGAAAGTCCAAATGCCTCTTGAAAAAGCACCTTTGGGACAACCACGTCCTGCACGACGGAGAATCTCCATAGCCATTTAGAAGGAGGGGGTGTTGGAGATAGACCAGGGAAGCAGGGAGACACCCCCCAGCACCCCAAAACTGAGGCAGGCCCCCCGCTTGACCTCTGCTTTTCCCTCCTGCTCCAGGGAGACCCCCGTCGAGCCTGGGGAGGAAGCCAAAGTAATGGTGGACTTCGTGCCCCAACAGTTCGGCCTGCGGAAGCTGGTGGTGGATTTTGAAAGCGACCAGCTGAAGGGGGTGAAGGGCTACCGGAACGTCATCATCGCCCCCCTGCGCAAATAGAGCCAGGAGCCCCCCCCCAACCAAAAAGCCAAACAAGTCCAGGAGCGCCTCCCCCCCCCTCCAGATGCCCTGTGTGTGTCTCTTTCTACCTGCACCTCCGGCTACACCCGCCTTCCAGATGCTTCTTTGCTCCTGCCATCACCAAAGACCGGCCCCATCCCACAGCTGGTTGGGGGGCACCCCAAATCCTAGAGTTGGCGTGGCTGCAATTGGGGAGGGGGTGGCGATCCTTGACTCGGGATGCGTGCGTGCAGGAGAACCACCCCTGTAGGATGTGACTTCTGGGGGTGTCCCAGACTCCCCCCCCCAGATCCTCATTTTGTGGGTCCTTTTGATCCTGTTAGGATGTTTGCCATCAATTCTGGTTGCCTGGGATGTTGGGACAGGAGGTCAGGCTGAAGGAGAGGGGGTGTCCCATGTTGGCCACTTTAAAAGACTAGTGGACTTCAACTTTAAGACTGGTGGACTTCAACTCCCAGAATTCCCCAGCCAGCTTTGCTGGCTGGGGAATTCTGGGAGTTGAAGTCCACAGGGCTGAAAGTTGCCAAGGCTGGATGCTCCTCTTTAGGGAATTCCTGTCTAACTGTCCCCCCAACCATTGATGGCCTTTGAAAGCCTCCTGAGAAGGATCCAGAAATCTTCTCCAGGGGGAGACCCTCTGCTTCTCCCATCCTGTTGTCCCACCAGAGGTCAGAAGCTTCCAGAATGAACAGATCTCATGCCATCCCCCTGACGGGGCAGCCCATAGAAACAGGGGTGAGTTTGTTGGGGAGAACAAATCAGCCTTGGGCATTTGACTTTGGCCTCTCCCGTATTCCCCTGACGAGTTTTGGCTATGATGGGACACTCCCGGCATGCAAGATCTCCACCGTTGCTTGCATGACTCCATAGTCCCTAAGGCACTCCAATTGCTTATTGTTTAGAGGGCCGTTGGCTTTGCAGGGCCCGTCTTTTCTCAGAGCACGGAACCCCTGGCTTTCCTGCTGAACCATCTATGGATTTTCCCATGAGGACCTGATGGCTGATCTCTGATAGACCCTCAAGGACTCTTCTGGCACTTGGTCCACGAAGCACCAGCCTTTGGACCCTCTGCAGGCCACATTCCCCAGAAGCCACCTGGGCTAATCAGGGTTTCTCAACCTCGGCCACTGGAAGATGGGTGGACTTCAACTCCCAGCATTCCCAGCCAGACTAGTGTTTCTCAACCTCAGCTACTGGAAGATGGGTGGACTTCAGCTCCCAGCATTCCCCAGCCAGCATAATTCTGGGAGTTGAAGTCCACCTGTCTTCAGCTAGCCAAGTTGGACAAACGCTGAGTTAGAAAGATAGCAAGATCTCAAGAACATCGTTTTACGGGTGACTTCCACCCCTTACTTGGAAGAAGAGGAGAAATTTCTTGATTTTTGACATCCTGTGTCTCCTGGGGGGGGGAGGTGGTCCTTCCGCCCTTGGGAAGGACCTACAAGAATTGTGGAACTGAGCAGGGAGAGAAGAGGGCTAGGAAGCAGGACATCAGTTAACCATGGCTGGAGAACATCTTCTAAATCTTCCCCAAACTGACTACCAGAAAGAGTTTTTGAAAGAAGGAAGGCGCAGGGTCCAGACTCCTCCCTGAGACCCATGAAGGGGGTCCCTTTCTCTAAAGCACCAGATACGATCCAAAGACAGCAAACCCATGGAGGCTACAGGAGAGAGCCTTCAAAGACAAGCCAGCATCAAGTTGTGGCAGTTGGTTAGACTCTGCTTTGACGACCTTCAGACCCAAAGGGGCTTTTCCAGGAGGCAACTGGACATCCTTGTTTCTCCTTTGAAGACATTTCACTTCTCACCCTAGAAGCTTCTTCAGGTTCTGACTGGAGGTTGTGGAATGGAAGGACCCAGGGCCGAAAACATCCTGCAGCCAAGAAGGTCCCACCACTCAGCTGACCTTGAGGACACAGGTCAACCTCCAGGTGGCCTCAAGGACTCTCCAAAAGAAGGCAAAGGACCAGCTCTTTGCAAGGAGTATAAATCCTTCCCTTCCCCACCATCCGGTCAGAACCTGAGGAAGCTTCTGGGATGAGAAGCGAAATGTCTTCAAAGAAAAATGGGGAAGTCCAGGTGTCTCTTGAAAAAGCGTCTTTGGCCTGGATGGCCGAGAATCTCCATAGACGACTCTCTTCAGAGTTTTCCCCAAAGAACATCTGGAAGATGAGTGGCCTCCAATCCCAGAATTCCCCCTGGAGCCTCTGCAGCCCACATCCCCTGAAGCAACCTAGTTAGAGCAGTGTTTCTCCACCTGGGCCAATGGCAGCTTGAGGACGGTGGATTTCAACCTCCAGCATTCCGCTGCCAGCAAATCTTGGGAGCGGAATTCCACTCATCAAGTGACCCAAGTTTGTAAAAACGCTGGGTTTGGAGAGAGACAACAAGATCCCAGGAATCTAGTGTACTCTGGTGGCTGTCTGCTGCCAACAGCCATGCTGGATGGGGAACATGGAACAGGAGAAGGCAATGGAAAAGGGGTACCGACGTGGAGAGAAAGATATCTGCCTCCCTACGCACTCCCAAACCATTTCTGGACAAGACCAGGCTGGCTTTTTGGGGGAGCTGGTAGCCACTTGCTTTAAGGTGTGGCTTACACTGAATGCCAGCTGTTTGGGCTCCTGTGCTTTTCCAGGTGTGTTACTGCTTCTGAGTCAGCCCAGCATGCTTTTGCTCCTTTATCAAGGAAGGTGATTGGCAACCGTTCAGAAACACCTAGAGATGGGCAAGACAAGCACAAATGATGGATGGATATATAGATGAATAAATAGATGAGCCGAGGAGGTTAAGGAAGGGTAGCCAACTAAGAAGGACCAGTTCGGAAGGTCCAGACCAACCTTTTCCAGCTGTGGTGGTCTACAGGATGAGTAGAAGGTCAGGAACAGTTGGCTGACTAAGAAGGGCCAGTTGAGAAGGGCCAGACCAGTCTTTTCCAGCTGTGGTGGTCTACATGATGAGTAGAAGAAGTCAGGAACAGTTAGCTGACTAAGAAGGACAAGTTGAGAAGGTCCAGACCAGCCTTTTCCTGCTGTGGTGGTCTACAGGATGAGTTGAAGAGGCTAGGAACAGTTGGCCAACTTAAGAAGGACCAGTTGGGAAGGTCCACACCAGCCTTTTCCAGCTCTGGTGGTCTACAGAATGAGTAGAAGAGGTTAGGAACAGTTGGCCAAGTAAGAAAGACAAGTTGAGAAGGTCCAGGCCAGCCTTTTCCAGCTCTGGTAGTCTACAGGATGAGTGGAAGAGGTCAGGGATAGTTGGCTGACCAGTTGAGAAGATCCAGACCAGCCTTTTCCAGTGAGGTGGTCTTTAGCCATTCTTGTTAGCTGGAGTGGGGGAGAATGAGTCCAGCCCAAGCCACCTGGATTGTATCAAGTGGGGGATGAGCCTCTATGTCTCCACCTCCTCTGGGTTTCCAGGAACACGATGTCCCCTCATTCTGGGTGGTTGGTCAAGCCCAACCACGCTACCTTTTGACCCAAACTCTGGTGCTTTGTGCAGAGCTAACTTGGCCAGAAGCACTGGTTTCCAAGTCCTTGGCTGCTGTCCAGTCACACCCTGCTTCAAACGTATTTGTCCAGAGCTTCTCCAAGAGCACTTAGACAAGAGACGAGAGACAGATACAGTTTATAAGCCATCACCCGTTTCCTAACCTTGTAAGATGTTTACTCACAGTTGCAATCCTTCTGGGGCTAATCTCTTTCGCAAGGGACTGGTGGGAATGTATTTTGCAATCCCTCAATAAAAAGTTTACTTTTCACCTTGCAATTGTTTAGCTTTCTTTTGTTCAGCCAACGTTTCCATGGCTCCCTGCTATCAACAGCTGTGCTGGGTGGGGATTCTGGGCACCCACACCCAGCAGCTCTATCAAGGAAGCTTCCTGATAGCCTTCAAGGGCAGCTCCTTGGAGGTCATTCTGCAGCAATCCAGTTGCCATGGCTCCTCTGAATTAGGAAGAGGAGGTGGAGAATTATGGAGTTCTTGATGCTCTCTGAGCTTGGTGGTTTTCTTGCAGATGTTTTATGATCCAACTAGGGAATACTATCAGTGCTAGAAGGGAGAGGAGGAGGAGGAGGAGGAGGAGGAGGAGGGGAGGGCGGAGCTTGAGGAGGAAGAGGAATAGAGGGGGGAGGGGCAGGAGGAAGAGGAGGAGGACTGTGGGGTCCTGGGTGCTCTCTGAGCTGGGTGGTTTTCTTGCAGACGTTTCATGACCCAAATAGGGAACACCATCAGTGCTAGAAGGGAGTGGGAATTGCAGAGAGGAGGAGGAGGAGGAGGAGGAGAACTGTGGAGTCCCTGGTGCTCTCTGAGCTGGGTGCTTTTCTTGCAGACGTTTCATGACCCAACTAGGGAACATCATCAGAAGTGAGAGGAGGAGGAGGAGGACGACGACAATGACGATGACAACAACTATGGAGTTCTTGATGCTCTCTGAGCTGGGTGGTTTTCTTGCAGATGTTTCATTACCCTAACTGGGTAACATCATCAGTGTTGGAAGGGAGGGGGGTTTGCAGAGTGGAGCAGAAGAAAGAGGAGGAGGAGAAGGATGTCGACAAGGACTGTGGGGTCCTTGGGGCTCTCTGAACTTTGTTGTTTTCTTGGAGATGTTTCATCACCCATCTAGGTAACATCATCAATGCTAGAGGGAATGTGGTTTATGGGGGAGAGGAAGACTGTGGGGTGCTTGGTGCTTTCTGAGCCAGGTTGTTTTCTTGCAGACATTTCACGACCCAACTAGGTGACATCATCATTGCTAGCAGGAAGAGGAGGAGGAGGAGGAGGAGGAGGAGGAGGAGGAGGAGGAGGAGGAGGAGGAGGAGGAGGAGGACAACGACAACGACAACGACTGTGGGGTGCTTGGTGCTCTCTGAGCCAGGCTGTTTTCTTGCAGACATTTCACGACCCAACTAGGTGACATCATCAGTGCTAGCAGGAAGAGGAGGAGGAGGAGGAGGAGGAGGAGGAGGAGGAGGAGAAGGAGGAGGAGGAGGACGACAATAACAACGACAACGATGATTGTGGGGTGCTTGGTGCTCTCTGAGCGAGGCTGTTTTCTTGCAGACATTTCACGATCCAACTAGGTGACATCTTGAAAGGTTGCGATATCTTCAAGAAAACAACCAAGCTCAGAGAATACCAAGAACTCCACATTGATAGCTTTGCCCTTCTGGATGCATTTGATCTGGAGGATACAGAGAGTAAATACTAAAAATCGATGGGCTTTCCTAACCTGATATTTAATTCAGTTGAGCCATGGTTGGCTGGTCTGGATGCAGCAGGTCTTCCCATTATTCTTGTTTTAATCAAGGTTGTATCCCCACACTTGGAACACTGCAGCCAATTTTGCTCACCATACTACAAAAAAGATGTTGAGAGTTTGGAAAAAGTTCAGAGAAGAGCAACTAAGAGGATCCAAGACCCGGAGACGAAAACATATGAAGCATGGCTGCAGAACTTG